GTACGTATATATGTATGTATGTATGTATGTGTGTATGTGTACGTATGTATAATGTATGTATATATTTGTTCATGTATGTGTGTATATATGTATATATATATATATATATATATATATATATATATATATATATATATATGTATGTATATATATTTATTTATATTTATATGTATATGCATATGAATATGTATTTATATGTATGTATATATAAATATAAATATACATATATATATATAATATATATATATATATATATATATATATATATATATATATATTTTATATTTGTATATTTATATTTATATTTATATTTTATGTATATGCATATGCATATGTATACGTATATGCATATTTATATGTATGTGTATATACATATGTGTGTGTGTATATATATATATATATATATATATATATATATATTATATATATATATATATATATGTATGTATAATATTTATTTATATTCATATGTATATGCATATGTATATGTATTTATATGTATGTATATATAAATATAAATATACATATATATATAATATATATATATATATATATATATATATATTATATATTTATATTTATATTTATATATATGTATATTGCATATGCATATGTATACGTATATGCATATGTATATGTATTTAATGTATGTGTATATACATATGTGTGTATATATATATATATATATATATATATATATATATATATATGTATATATATATGTGTATGTATATATGTATGTATGTATGTATATATATATATATATGGTATGTAATATGGTGTGTGTGTGTATTTATGTTTATGTCATTGCGCATGAATGTTTATATGTGTGGGTGCGCGCGGTTAGAAGGGCGAGTGAGGGGCGGCAGGCAGACCCGGGCGGACCGCGGGGGGCATTCTCTGCCAAGGAGGAAGAGTGACTCACCTGCCTCCTTCGCAGGGTCTCGGGTGATGGGCTGCGTCGAGGGGCTTTGGGGGAACATGTCCTCGTATTCTTTTAAATATTTATGTAACGGGATCAATATAGAACATCTTTCATTTACAGCTTTTTGGGCAATCGCTTGTAAAGATTAGAATTTTGAAGAATAAGAGCACCCATGTAAGATGTGATCTCAAGGAATCTCAGGGAATTAATGTTAGTGTATGTAGTGTCGTTTTAAGTACACAGTGAAATTGGTATGGAAGGATTTCGTTATGTAAGGAAAGATTAGGCACGCACAGAAGTGCTGGCAGGTGCCAGGGCATTTCCAATAGTCCTGGTGTTGATGTGGAGGCTGACTTAAGATGCAAATGTTTAGGTTGTGTAAGTTTTGCTCAGGAGGTTGCTTATTTCATGAATTAAGGAAAGGTTTTTTCTTTTTTCAGGTACGGTTGAAAGCAAGAGCTGGAATTACAGTCGTTCGGGGTGTGCTAAGAACAGTAAGTTTCTTGCAGGATACTTTTTCGTATTTTCTTATACTCTCTCTCTCTCTTTCTCTCTCTCTCTCTCTCTCTTTCTCTGCTCTCTCTCTCTCTCCTCTCTCTCTTCTCTCTCTCTCTCCTCTCTCTCCTCTCTCTCTCTCTCCTCTTCTTTCTCTCTCTCTCTCTCTTCTCTCCTCTCTCTCCCTCTCTCCCTCTCTCTCTTCCCTCTCTCTCCTCTCTCTCTCTCTCCTCGCGTCTCTCTCTCGAGAAGCCCGCTCCCTCTCCCTCTTGCTCAAAAATAGGCCTCCTTGGGCAGGCAGCACCATTGTGTCTCTTCTTTCCCTCCTCTTCCCACACACCCTCGTTCCCCGCACGAAGCTCTGCCCCTTGCGGAGGCAAGCGCCACCGGCCTGCTGCGGGCGAAGGTGCGAGCGGCGGCCGCGTGGGTGTGAGTCAGGCTGTGACCCGGGT